GCCGGGCGCGGTGGCTCAAGCCTGTAATCCCAGCACTTTGGGAGGCCAAGGCAGGTGGATCACAAGGTCGAGACATCGAGACCAACCTGGTTAACATGGTGAAACCCCGTCTCTACTAAAAATACAAAAAATTAGCTGGGCATGGTGGCGCCTGCCTGTAATCCCAGCTACTCAGGAAGCTGAGGCAGGAGAATTGCCTGAACCCAGGAGGCGGAGGTTGCGGTGAGCCGAGATCGCACCATTGCACTCCAGCCTGGGTAACAAGAGTGAAACTCCGTCTCAAAAAAAAAAAAAAAAAAAAAAAAAAAGATAATTTTGGGCCTGGCGCGGTGGCTCAAGCCTGTAATCCCAGCACTTTGGGAGGCTGAGGTGGGTGGATCACAAGGTCAGGAGATCGAGACCATCCTGGTCAACATGGTGAAACCCCGTCTCTACTAAAATACAAAAAATTAGCTGGGCATGGTGGCGCGTGTCTGTAATCCCAACTACTCAGGAGGCTGAGGCAGGAGAATTGCCTGAATCCAGGAGGTGGAGGTTGCGGTGAGCCGAGATCGCGCCATTGCACTCCAGCCTGGGTAACAAGAGCGAAACTCTGTCTCAAAAAAAAAAAAAAGATAATTTTGTAAATTGTATATTTACACTTGTTATGCATATTTGATGTGTGTGTGAGCATGACCCTATTGCAGAGATGATCAACTATGTACCAACAAATCCATGCTCCCCTTTCCAGACTTAGAGAAAGTCCCACCCAGCTAGGGACCACATCTTCCAGACCCCTTTGCACTGGGCAAGGGCCATGTGACTAGTTCTCACCAATGGGATGTGAGTAGAAATGCAAGTGTCTCTCTGGGCTAGGGTGACTTAAGGGGCCCCTGGATAACCATGCCACATAAGTTAGTAAACTTCTAACCTAAAGTTTGCATTTGCTTGTTACATAAGCTAGATTGCCTGAACTAATACAACCCCAACAAATTGCATGATCTATCCCTGGGTTAAGATTGCAGTTTGAAACACACTGATGTGATCTTCTGATTTTCCGAATATTTTTGAACCATCCCAGGGACTGGGAGGCTGAGGCGGGAGGATTGCTTGAGCCCAGGAGTTTAAGGCTAGCCTTGGTAACATAGCAAGACCTTGTCTCTAAAATAAAATAAAATGAAAAGAAATCTACAAAAGTCAAAAAGAAGTGTCTCTGATGGAAGCAGAGGTTGAAGGGCTGGAGGAGGCTAAGCCCTAGCCGTTTGAACATGCCCCTCCCCCATTATCCTCAAAGTGAAACTGCAGCATCTTTCCTGACTCTTAGGACCTAGGGAATACTGTGTGACAACCACTGAGCCAGGTGCTCATCATACCTCCATTTCTCAAAAGAGGAAATGGAGGCCAGGTGCAATGGCTCACGCCTGTAATCCCAGCACTTTGGGAGACTGAGGTAGATGGATCACATGAGGCCAGGAGTCCAGCCTGGCCAACGTGGTGAAACCTCATCTCTACCAAAACTACAAAAATTTGTCAGGTGTGGTGGCACGCGCCTGTAATACCAGGTACTTGGGAGGCTGAGGCACAAGAACTGCTTGAACCCAGGAAGTGGAGGTTGCAGCAGTGAGCAGAGATCATGACCCTGGATAACACTGAGACTCTGTCTCAAAAAAAAAAAAAAAAAAAAAAAAAAAGAGGAACTAGAGAGGCAGCAGGAGAAGGACTTGAGTAAAGTCACAAATAGCCACCCAGGCCCAGAGCTAGAGCCATCTCTCAGGTCTCTGATGAGGATAGGCCTGTCCCCTCCCTTTCTATGCCTCTCATCTGCCTCCTCCTCTGTGAAGGTGCTACACAGACTCACATCTATGAACCAGGACCCCCAAGGGGAGACCTCAGGCATCCCAGGGCCCCAGAAGGCTTGCAGCAAATCCTTGTCCTAACTCTCCAGCCAGACAGTTGCATCCTGGGAGCAGTTACCTATTCCTCATTCATCTCTGTTGCTTCTACAACAGCCAAAATGACACTAGCACGTAGTAAGCGTCCAGTCCTTTGCATGTAGTAGGTGCACACTCTATAGGTACAATAAGAATAGTTCAAATTCGCATAGCACTTTCTATGTGCTCAACACTCAGCACTTTACACATATTGACTTTATTTATTTCTCACAACAACCCCATGAAGCAAATGCTATTATCATCAGCCCCATTTGACAATGGAGAAATTGAGGCAAAAAAGATTGAGTCAGCCAGCCACGGTGGCTCATGCCTGTAATCCCAGCACTTTGGGAGACCAAGGCAGGAGTATCACTTGAGGTCAGGAGTTTAAGTCCAGCCTGGCGAACATGGTGAAACCCTGTCTCTACCAAAAATACAAAAGATTAGCCAGGCGTGGTGGTGGGCGCTTATAATATCAGTTACTCAGGAGGCTCAGGCAGGAGAATTGCTTGAACCTAGGAGGTGGAGGTTGCAGTGAGCCAAGATTGTGCCATTGCATTCCAGCCTGGGCAACAGAGCCAGACTCCGTTTCAAAAAAAAAAAAGATTGAGTCATTTACTTGAGGTCATACAGCTAGTAGATGGTAGTTTGAACCCAGGCAGCCTGACTTGAGCTGCTAACCACTATGCTATCCAGCCCCCTTGGATGCTATTATGACATGATAGCTGAAGGAATGAAGATTTGGTGTCAGACTAGATTTAATCACCTATTTGTTGGGCGATGCAGGGAAACTTGACTTAACAACTCTGAATCTCAAAAGAAAAGAAAAAAAAAAAAAAGAAAAAGAAAACAACTCTGAATCTCAATTTCTCCATAAAATGGAGATAATAGTTCCTGCTTGGATGGGTTATTACAAGGCTTCAAAGGGAGAGAATGTAACAAATCGCCAGCATCTTGCCCATTACATAAAAGGGGCTTAAATGAAAACAAACTTCTTTCCTTGTCGTTGACCCAGGAATATGAGTCAGGAAAAATGGCAGGCACAATTCCTTCACTTAAGCATCTCGGCATGCTTTTTTGTTCTTTCTTTTTTTTAGACACGTTTCCCTCTGTTGCCCAGGTTGGAGTGCAGTGGTGTAATCTCGGCTTACCACAGCCTCCACCTCCTGGGTTCAAGTGATTCTTCTGGCTCAGCCTCCTGAGTAGCTGGGATTACAGGCACCTGGCACCACGTCCTGCTAATTTTCATATTTTTAGTAGAGACGGGGTTTCACTATGTTGGCCAGGCTGGTCTCGAACTCCTGACCTCAAAAGATCTGCCCACCTCAGCCTCCCAAAGTATTGGGATTACCGTGTGAGCCACTATACCCAGCCTCAGCATGCTTTTAGGAATAAGATTAATCAATCATGAAACAACCAGACAAATCTCAAAATACTTTCAATAAAGGACGGAATTAATTGCAGTAAAACATAAGTAAAATCAGAGCAGTGTGTGGCCATGCTCCAGGCCTTTGCATATGCTGTTGCCTCAGCTGGGAACACTCTTCCCCACCATCTCTTCTCCCAGCTGACCCCTGCTAACCTTCAGGTTCCGGCTTAGATATATCAGTCTACTCCTTCAGGGTCAAGAAGTCTGTGACCCCTTCCCCTTCTCCTAAGTCCCTCTGTATCCCACGGCGCCATCTCTGGCCTTATCATAGCACTCTCTTTGGTTGCTGCTGGCTTGTCTATATACCCACCAAATTGGGCACTGCCTAAGATCTGAAGCAAAGTTGTTCTTTTTGTTTGTTTTCTGAGACAGAGTCTCACTCTTATCACCCAGGCTGGAGTGCATCTGGGCTCACTGCAACCTCCACCTCCTGGGTTCGAGCGATTCTCTTGCCTCAGCCTCTCCCCAGTAGCTGGGATTACAGCAGCCCACCAACATGCCTGGCTAGTACCTGTATTTTTAATAGAGCCAGGGTTTAATCATGTTGGCCAGGCTGGTCTCGAACTCCTGACCTCAGGTGATCCGTCCACCTCGGCCTCCCAGAAGGCTGGGATTAAAGGAGTGAGCCATTGTGTGAAGCAAACATCCTCCTATGTTCCCCCAGTGCCTAACAAAATGTCTTGCATACCATAAGCCCCACTGGAAGTTTGTTGAAGAGATGAACAAATGAACAATGAATTAATTAATACAGGAGGATTCTGGGTGGAGGCAAGATGCACTCTGGGTATCTAGTTCCTCCCTTTACTAAATGGAACAAAGTAAGGTAATGGTTTCCATACTGCAGCTGAACTGCATACCCTAAATTGCATAAGAAGCTAATAAAAAGTTACAGATTCTTGGAACTTGCCCCAGGAGACTCTGATTCATTGGGTCTGGAGTGGAGCCCCAAAATTTGTTTTAAAAAGTTTCCTCGGCCGGGCGCGGTGGCTCAAGCCTGTAATCCCAGCACTTTGGGAGGCCGAGGCGGGTGGATCACAAGGTCAAGAGATCGAGACCATCCTGGTCAACATGGTGAAACCCCGTCTCTACTAAAAATACAAAAAATTAGCTGGGCATGGTGGTGCGTGCCTGTAATCCCAGCTACTCAGGAGGCTGAGGCAGGAGAATTGCCTGAACCCAGGAGGCGGAGGTTGCGGTGAGCCGAGATCGCACCATTGCACCCCAGCCTGGGTAACAAGAGCGAAACTCCGTCTCAAAAAAAAAAAAAAAAAAAAAAAAGTTTCCTGGCCAGGCATGGTGGCTCACGCCTGTAATCCCAGTACTTTGGGAGGCCAAGGTGGGCAGATCATGAGGTCAGGAGATCGAGACCATCCTGGCCATGGTGAAACCCCGTCTCTACTAAAATACAAAAAATTAGCTGGGCGTGGTGGTGCATGCTTGTAGTCTCAGCTACTCAGGAGGCTGAGGCAGGGGAATTGCTTGAACCTGGGAGACGGAGGTTGCAGTGAGCCAAGATCGTGCCACTGCACTCCAGCCTGGCAACAGAGCAAAATTCTGTCTCAAAAAAACAAACAGGGTCCTACTCAACTTTGGGCCTATTCACCCTTTATAAGGACACAGCATGTTCATTATAGCTTCTATTACCTTTTCTCTTTCATTAGATTGTGGAATCTTCATAACAACAATGGTTCATTTGATGGGTCAAGAAACTGAGGAACAGATAGCTGAAGCACCATCATCACAGACCTTCAAGGGGGAGAGCCACGTCATCAAACTGCCTCTGACAATGGCCTCTGATCTGTCCTCAAGCTGATGCTATTGGTGAAAGGGACTAGGCCTACAGAGCTAGGAAAAATTAGGCTCAACTGGCACTTAAAAACAGATATAGGGCTGGGCGTGGTGGCTCACGCCTGTAATCCCAGCACTTTGGGAGGCCGAGGCGGGTAGATCACGAGGTCAAGAGATCGAGACCATCCTGCTCAACATGGTGAAACCCTGTCTCTGCTTAAAAAAATCCAAAAAATTAGCTGGGCATGGTGGCGCGTGCCTGTAATCCCAGCTACTCAGGAGGCTGAGGCAGGAGAATTGCCTGAACCCAGGAGGCAGAGGTTGTGGTGAGCCGAGATCGCGCCATTGCACTCCAGCCTGGGTAACAAAAGCGAAACTCTGTCTCAAAAAACAAACAAACAAACAAAAAAAAACCAGATATAAGTATTCCCCTGATGGAAGATTGCTGACATCCCCTGTCTCCTCACTTGTCCTGTCTAAAGCACTTGAAGGTGCTGCTATTCCAGGCCACCTCAGCCCACCCCTTCTCATCCATCCATCCATCTTTTCATCTACCCACCCATCACATCATTTGTCCATCCATCCTTCCCCTAACCACCTACCCATCTATTCAGCTACTTATTCATCCGTTTATCACATGCACCTACGTATCTTTCCATCCATCTCATCTACTTACTCATCCACTCATCACCCTCCACACATACCCATCTACTCATAACATCTTTTTTTAATCCGTCAACCCAGCCATCTCCCCAGTTACTCATTCATCTGTTTGTCTCATCCATCCAGCTATTTCTCCATCTGTTCCACGTATGCATTCCTCCGCCCATCTATCACATCCATCCATCACATCACGTTCATTCATCAGTCCATCCACTTATCCACCCACCCAGACATATGTTCATTCATCCATCCACCTTCCCCTTCATTCATCCACTCAATTAACCTTCAATCAAGGTCTACATGGGACCAGGCCCTGTCAAAGGCTGGAGTATAACAAAAAGAATTAGATAGAAACAGATCTTTTCTTCAAGGAGATTCAAGGTACGTACAGAAATGAGAAACTAGCAAAAAAGCAAAATAAATAACCAAGGGAAACTTGTTGAAAGGAAAATAAGCGTAGAAAAGGAATAAGGCCAGGAGTCAGGTTAGTGCACAGATATGCACACTTAGCATCTCATCCTCACAGTTGCTCAGGGTAGTCCCAAATTTGCACTGAGCAAGATCCTGGCACTCAAGACAGAAACACAAGAGTCACAGTCCACTCCATTGTGGTAGACACTCCCCAGAATACCCTGTTCTGCTATAACACGCTGGGGTTATATGTGCCCCAGGGTACATTTGGCTTTCTGGAGACATTTTTGGTTGGCACAACTGATGGGGAGAGATGTTACTGGCATCTGGGGAGTAGATAGAGGCCAGGGATGCTGTTTAACATCCTACGATCCACAGGACATCCCCTCTCCCCCCGCCACAGATACTCTTCCAGGCCAAAATGTCAGTAGTGCTTAAGTTGAGAAACTCACTTATATCAGAACCTCAGTTCTCTTTGGAGCAGTGGCGTGCCACACCCCAAGAGAAGAATCACTGGCCCAGGCCCATCTTGGCTTTCCTAGCTCTTTCCACTACATACTTGACTTCCCAACTTTCCTTGAACTAGGGGAGTGTGCCAGGAAGTTTCTGGGGAAGTTTTGCTTTTGGATAAAAGAAACGAGGGCATTGAGAAAAACCCCTTCAACTCCTGCCTGCCGCTTCAGACACGTAAGTGCAGACCCCAAACCTCATGCTAGAACAGCCAATTTGGGTTGTGATGGGGCACCTACGAGGACCAAGGCCAACACAGGGAGGGGGGCAGAGTGGAAGGAGGGAAGGGCGCGGGTCCGGCTACACCGAAGATCGTCGTAGTGCTGTCTCTTACGCCCGTCAATTCACTTGTCAACAAATGCTTACTGAGCATTTCTCCTGTGCCAGTCACCGTGTGAGACATTGTGAGAACAAGGAAGAGCAAACCACCAGGTCCCAGAGCTCATGGAGTTTACAGTCTGGTGGGAGAGCCAGACACCACAATTCACACCAACAACTATCTGATCAGAGCTGCAAAGCCAAATGCAGTGTGCCACGGAAGCGCCGGAAGTCCAGGCGGGTCAGGCACCCAGCATCACCGCACCAAAGGGCAGCTCGTTAGAGTCCTGCGGAAGCTCAAAAACATGAAACCACAAGTAGGACTTCTTGCCCGCTGACTCTGGGCCCTGCACTGTTCTAAGCACTCCTGGATTCTTCCATCTGATCCTCACAGCAGCCATGTCTTCCTCTGCCTCTAACAGGCTCTTCTATGTGCCATGTCCCTGACCCACCAATGCAGCTCTGATATGGTCGTCTTAGGAGATGATTAACGTTATCCCCATTAGAGGACCTCAGAAGAGAGTTTTTTTTTGTTTTGTTTTGTTTTTTGTTTTTGTTTTTGAGATAGAGTCTTGCTCTGTTGCCCAAGCTAGAGTGGCAGTGGTATGATCTCGGCTTACTGCAACCTCCACCTCCAAGGTTCAAGCGACTCTCATGCCTCAGCCTCCCAAGTAGCTGGAATTACAGGCACCTGCCACCACGCCCAGCTAATTTTTGTATTTTTAGTAGAGACGAGGTTTTGCCACGTTGGCCAGGCTGCTCTCCAACTCCTGACGTCGTTATCTGCCTGCCTCAGCCTCCCAAAGTGCTGGGATTACAGGCGTGAGCCACTGTGTCCAGCCAAGGAGAGGGCTTTTGTTTCCTCAGAGCGCTTGTTTCTTTTCTCAGAAAGCGATTTTTTTTTTTTTTTCTGGAGCCTCTCCCAGCAGACTTCAATAGCTCATTTTATCAATAAAATAGGTGAGGCTCAGAAAGGGATAATGATTTGACTCATAAGACCACACAGCTTTTTTTTTTTTTTTTAAGACAGGTAGATCTGGCCGGGTGCGGTGGCTCACGCCTGTCATCCCAGCACTTTGGGAGACTGAGGTGGGCGGATCATGAGGTCAAGAGATCAAGACCATCCTGGCCAACATGGTGAAACCCCAACTCTACAAAAATAAGAAGAAGAAGAAGGAAAAAAAAAGACAGGTAGATCTAGGATGCTAGGATGCTAACCCAGATGTATTTTTTTTTTTTTAAATCAAATCAGGCTCTTTTGGCCACTCTCACACACATACACACAGGCACACATGTACTGCAGCGAAGTTTCCACTGCCCCGGGACACAAGTGCTCATTGTGGATGCTCTGCAAGGCCACTGAAGTTCTATTCTCTGCCCAGACAGATCTGTGGCCTAGAGCAGAGGGCCCCGCTGTCTGGCAGGGCGTGGTGGCTCACCGCCCTGTCAAGTCTGGAGTCAGATGATTATTTTTTTAAATCTTGAACCTTAGTTTTCTCTTCTGTCCTTGGAGATACAATATTATTTATCTTAGACAGCTGTTGGGGAAGTCAAAGCGCTATCTGAGAGATAATAGTAGAACATCAAATCACCCATTCATTCATCCATTCACCCACCTACCCATCCATCCATCCATGCAACCATTAGAATAACTGCTGAATGCTTTTATTTATATGTCATACTCATATAATGAGTATGACACCAGGGCAGAGAAGAAGAGACATGAGGACATCCTACAAGATGCAGAGACTTGGGAGGCAGCAGGGGGCTGTCAGGTTATATTATTATCATCCTTTAAGAGAAACTATGGGGCCTTCGGTTCACCCCTTGCTTAGCCTTATGACCTGGGCTATCCTTCCCCAGAAGCTGTCTGGCTCCTTTGAGAGACAACGTCTTCCTCTGGCCACAGGTTCAACCAAGTCATCCGTTGGCATCTTTAAACCTGGTCTTGGCCGGGCGCGGTGGCTCAAGCCTGTAATCCCAGCACTTTGGGAGGCCGAGGCGGGTGGATCACGAGGTCAAGAGATCGAGACCATCCTGGTCAACATGGTGAAACCCCGTCTCTACTAAAAATACAAAAAATTAGCTGGGCATGGTGGCACATGCCTGTAATCCCAGCTACTCAGGAGGCTGAGGCAGGAGAATTGCCTGAACCCAGGAGGCGGAGGTTGCGGTGAGCCGAGATCGCGCCATTGCACTCCAGCCTGGGTAACAAGTGCGAAACTCCGTCTCAAAAAAAAAAAAAAAAAAAAAAAAAAAACCTGGTCTTAAAATTGTGGATTAAGGGTAGCTTCATCCTTTAGCTGTGCTATCTCCTTTAATCCCCTGCCCTCAGGGAGAATAGGTCCTGTTATTATCTTCATTTTACAAATGAGGAAATAGGTTCAGAGGGTAAGTGTCTTGCTCAAGGTCACCGAGCAGGTGTGTGGGATGGGTTCCCAGGCTGTTTGTTTCTTCAGCCTCTGCCATATTCCTGTTTTATGGGGGTCAAAGCAAAGAAGATTCTCCCTGACTAGAGTCAGGAGATCAGGTCCTAATTCTGTCATTCACTAGCCCCCCATCCTCAGCCACTGATGACATAAATGTTCGATGCGTTTTTGCAATTCGCGTGGTATCAGCGCTTTACACCCCTGCTCCCCACGGCATTCACCGTGATCCTAAGACACATCATCGTCCTGTCTCCACTTCAGAAAGAAAGCAAGAGGTACATGAATGTTGAGTCGTGTGACAGAGTCACAACTAGACCCAGGTTTTCTGGATTCCAGAGGCCAAGTTCTGTGCAGGTGTGTGATTTGAACAGGTTTATAAATGCACCCATCTTTTTAAAAAAAAATCCAAAATGTGGGCCAGGCGTGGTGGCTCACGCCTGTAATCCAAGCAAGGCGGGTGGATCACCTGAGGTCGGGAGTTCAAGACCAGCCTCACCAACATGGTGAAACCCCGTCTTTTTTTAAAAAAAAATTGTTTTAATTTAAAAAAAAATCCAAAATGTGTCCCCAAAAGGTAAAACAAACGTTCTCTTGAATCTCCCCCTTCAGAAACAAACCTGTCACCAATTTCTTCATGTCATTCCATGAATTTTCTATACATGGAATATACATATAAACATACACGTGTGTACATAATACGTCTATAACGCGTGTGTACATATATACATCTAAATCCTTTTCGCTATCAGAAACCATACGGTTCTTCGGCGTACCGTTTTAACTTAATGTAACTGAGAGAGTCTTCCCTGT